ACAAGACTATATTACCCTGCTCTCTTCATGAAACAGGTTATAAAACATTACAACTGGGCGCCTGGGTGTGGCTCAGTCGGTTGGGCGTCTGCCTTCGGCTCAGGTCAGGATCCTGGAGTCCCGGGATCGAGTCCCACATCGGGATCCCCGCTCGGTGGGGAGTCTGCTTCTCCCTCTGACCCTCTTCCCTCTCGTGCTCTCTCTCATTCTCACTCTCTCAAATAAATAAATAAAATCTTAAAAAAAATAAAACAAAACATTACAACTCAAGAAGAATCAGCACCACATTCAGATTTATGGTCTTTAAATACCATATCCCACTAAATGAATCAGGGCACTTTGAGGAAATGCTATTACAGGTATGAGATATGCCATGTACAAAAGCAGCCTGGCAAGCAAAGACTACTAGGGCCATGTCAAAAGGATGCAGGAGCCATGTGAATATGCTCTGTTGGCCCAAGATAGCCCCTGAGGACTGAAGAGTAGACTTTTGTTCACCCTAAAATATGTCTCTTTGACATAAGAATTATGTTGAGCTGGTTATTTTTTTAAAAAGGTTTTATCTATTTCTTTGAGAGAGAGAGAAAGAGAGCACAAGTCGGGTGAAGGGCAGAGGGAGCAGCAGGCTCCCCGCGGAGCAGGGAGCCCGATGCGGGACTCGATCCCGGGACGCTGGGACCACGACCTGAGCCGGCCAGGTGCCCCTGAGTTGGTTATTTTCCAGACACGCAGACACAGGATAAACTCTGAAGACCGAGCAGAAGTTGCCGTTTTGAGAGAGATGTCTCTATATACGAGGGAAATCCCCACTGGTGAATGTGTCTTCCCGCCGTGCCAGGAAGGAGGAGATGAGCACTGCTCCAGAGGTTCTTGTCAGTGGCGAGGGCAAGCACTTCCACTGCACAGCAGCTTTACCCTGGTTCACCGCTTTTCTGGTCACTTCCCACAACGGACTGCCCACCCCCAGAATCGTTCGTCTCTAGCTGAAGACGGAGTGTGCGGTGCTGGCTTGGGCCACTTCACGCGCTCCTCGGCGTTCCGGTCTCTCCCGTGCTGTGCGAGGCACGGCGCTCCTCGGCGTTCCGCGCGCTC